ACTAAGTGCAGTTACCTGTAGTTATTAACTAAGTGCAGTTACCTGTAGCTATTAACTAAGTGCAGTTACCTGTAGCTATTAACTAAGTGCAGCTACCTGTAGCTATTAGCTAACTGCAGCTACCTGTAGCCATTAGCTAACTGCAGCTACCTGTGTCTTGTGTAACATCAGTGGCAGAAACAGCTGGCAGGGGTAAGAAGTGAAGTGGAGGGCAGCTCTTTGGGGTAAATAGTTCTGAAGGCAACATAACCTTCTGTGTTCCTCTTACTGATGGATCCATGTCTCCAGGGCACTGAGGACTTCTCCTTTCTGAATGCCAGCTGTTTCCGCCCAAAAATCACAGCTTAAAACAAAATGTTCCTTCTTCATCTGATTCTGAAGATTAAAAAAAAAAGCAGCACGGAGCTGTAAGTTAGGACTCGAAACTCAGCGACTTTGCTGAAGTTTGTCCAAAAAATTTCACTTTATTTAAAAACTGTGTGCTAACATTTCAAAATAAGCTAAACWCAAAACTGAGGTTAGTTCACCTGTGCCTTCAGCCTCTGTTAGCCCCGCCCCCTCACTCACACCTGTTGTCATGTTGCCAATCAGCCCCAGTCCATTTTTGCTTCACTTCCTGCTGGATTTTCCTCAAGTTTAGTTATTTTGTTTCTGCTGATGCACCAGTGTTTAGTTTTGTGTTTATTCAACTTTTTATCTTTTAATAAAACCTCGTTGAGTTGTTGGATCCGACCCCTCCCAACCAGGACAGCAAGAAGACACCACGTAATTTACAGACATTTGCTTTAAAATATAGAGTGCCAACAAACAGAAGAGTAAACCAAGTTGTAAGTTAATAAATAACAGGTAACTCTTTTCTCATGTGGTGCTCAAATAACAGTCATTACTGTAAAACACAGCTCCACAATAAGATGATTATTAGTTCAGCGAGGGAAACTGAAATTCATGAATGAAGTCCTGGTGAGTCGTGTTCTCCAGAAAGAGTTACTAATCAGGAGATTTGTTACTCAAACAAAAAACCTTTACCAGAAAGACTCGTGTAAAAACGTGCTGGACTCTAAAAGGATGTTTGTTTAGGTTTAATAGTTTAAAACTGAGCAGCTGACATGCATTTCTTTAAGACAGAAACTTTGCATATGAAGCAGTAAAAGCTCTGCGAGACAGCACGCTTCAGGTCTCCAGGTTCTGATGGTGCTCATTAGTTACGAGGGTTAAAAGCCCAATTTTAGGGGCCAAATTGCTCCTTTGGCTCCTCGTGAACCAAATGGCGGAGCGAAGAAGGAGCCTTCGGCACATCTCCTGGCACAATTTGCACCTCGTAGCCCTGCGGAGAGCTCGTCTCAGCCGGGCCAGAATGTAAAGACTGTAATCCATTACCCGGTAATGTCAAATGAGCTTCTGCAACACTCCTCAGCCGCGGAGCGTAATCACCAAAAATTGGATTTTGAGAGGCGAGAAATGAGCGCGTTGTAATTCTAAAAATGATTATCTCTGCAGGTGTGGTGGTGGTTCTTGACTAAAGGAAAAGATGCTGCTTCTTCCTTTTTTTTTTAAAGAAAATTGTAAGATTGTTAGGGCTCTTTTTGCACACACAAATACTCTGTCCCTCCAGTCCAGGAGCAGGTGTAGAGGGGGAAATTAAATCAGGAGAAAGCATTCCAGGTTTAAGAGCTGACCGTAATAAAATGGGTTTTATGCTTTAAGTTACATCTGCAGCTGCGAGGAGACTTTTCGTTTACCGGCTTTTCTTCCATTTCTTTTATACAAGTTATTAATTTTCTGATGAACTCAGCCTCGTTCTGCAGATGTTTTCTACAACAGGAATGGTCAGATCATTTTCTGAGAAGAAATAAAGTCCATGAGGTTTTCAGGTCGACACAATAAACCTCAGCATCACATTATCAGTGTGACGTCTTTCAGAAACATTAACCGTTATTATAACCGTCAATARTTGATAAACATAAACTATAAAAACCAGACTGTAAAAATACATCAGACTTTAAAACTTGAGGGTCCAGGGATCTAGTTCCTGTTCAGGCATGTTTTTAACCTTTTAGCTTTTGTCATAGATCCAAACTTAGGGCAAAATGTAATGTTAGCACCTGAGCTAACTCAAATATTCACTATATGGTGATATAGCYTTAGCACCTGAGCTAATATTTACATGGTGATATAGTGCACAAGCTAATACACACATATATGGCAATATAGCATTAGCACCTGAGCTAATACATATYTTCAGTATATGGTGATATAGGGTTAGTGCGCAAGCTAATACATCCATAAATGGCAATATAGTGTTAGAGCTAACGCTGTATCACCATATGTTTATCTATTAGCTCTGGAGCTAAGGCGAAAGCTAAAATGCTAAACCTGAGGTGCTCCTTCTATAAAGCGGCTCTGTTATGAGAGTATTGTTAAAGCATTCAATGGATCATGAGATATTTTGCTAACACTACAGAAAAAAAACACTCCGATTTACGTCTACCTGCTGGTAATTTATTCCATTATCTTGTTTTCCTGACTACATTTAGTGTCAGCAGTAATGACCTTTATTTTCAACATGATTATCAGTTAAAACTCCAAAAACAGAAGATTAGTTGTGATTTCAGCACTTGGGTATGTAATACTCGTACCTGAACGTGTGTTAGCAGCTAAAATAATGAGTGTGCACTCAGACAATGTGTTTACTTCCTGCTGTTCACATTAATGAACAGCTTCCTCTCTGCTCTCTGTGTGCCGACCAGGTTAGATCTGCACTGCATTTTACCTTCATCAGGACTAATAGAGTCAGACTGTTMGGATGAAAAATATTCATGCTTTTATCTTTTAGACTGGTCCACTTCAGTTCACTTTGTAGTGGAATTAACCAGTCTGTTCTCCACCGTCTCCAACTGGTCCAAACTTCAGCAGCTCGTTTGTTAATGAGGACAAGATGGTGTGAACATYTTACCTCTGTTCTACACTGTCTTCACTGGCTGCCTGTTCCTTTCAGGACTGATTTTAAACTTCCACTTTTGGTTTTTAAATGTATAAAACGATCTGACACCTTCTTCTCATCCTGCTAAACAAGTCCCTCCCTCTGTGAGGTCTGCCAGGTCACCTGATGATTTTAAACATTTAACCTGCCGGCCTAAAATACCATAAAACACCTTTAAAATTACACACAAATGAYARGAAGTACTGCTCTTCACCCTTTAGAGTAAATTCACAAGCTTGGTCTGTTTTTAAAGCTAATAATCTGAATTTTTTCTGGGACACGGAGCATGACGGTTTAAAGTAAAATGAAAGTTAAAATGGAATGTGGGTGTTCCGGTGCTTGTTAACAGGTTTTAAAAGTCTTTTAAAGATTTATCTTTTTGCTTTGGTTTTTAACTTTAGAGAGCACCTGCAGTGGGCCAGTTTTTATTTTTTACATGTTTTTGTATTATTTTCTACTTATGGAAGTGTTTACTTGATTTGATCTTATTGTATTTTTATTCTGTTGTGCAGCACTTTGATTGCCGTTGGCTGTGAAAAGTGCTATACAAGTAAAGTTTTGATTGATTGATTGAAAAAGAATATTTGGTTAATAGTTTTGTGTTTTCTCTGAAGATCGGTTGTTCTGCAGCCTTCAAATCATAAATCTAATTCAGATCCTGTTTGAAACCAACTGCAGCCAGTTAATTCAGACCAACAGGTTGGTGACAGTGGAAATGAAGAAACTTCCAGCAGAAACAGGACCGGGACCAGGACCAAGACCAGGATGGGCCGCCAACCAACTGGGATTGGAGAGAGTAAAACAGGAAGTGGTCCAGGTTCTAATTTCTATGGGAAGACAAAGAAAACAGGAAAATGACAGCGATAATTACAAATACAAATATTGAAAGTAGAAACCAGCAACCTGAGCCCACAGCAGCAGAGCTAAAGGATGGCTAAGGAAACCCAAAGCAGCTTTAGCTTTAGGATTTTTATATAAAAGTATTAAACGTGGCTCTAAAAGGAAACAGTGTTTCAGGTTCAGGGACAAAAACTACAAGATGTTTTACCAAGAGGAGCGTTTGAGCTGAAAGCTCCGCCTCCTGTTTACAGACTCTAGGAACCAGAAGTAAACCTGCAGTCTGACAGTGAAGTTAGGAAAATATGGAAATCCTGAATGTAAGATGGTCTCATCAGAACAGTTTGGATCAGCTGAAGACTTTAAAGATTTGTTTGGACACCAGGATAATAAATAAACACAGAGAAGTCAGAAATTAGAACAAGATGTGGTGAAGAGCTGCTTTCATTTTATTGTTAAATTCATGTAAAACGTTTAAATGGACTCAGAAAAGGGTCTCAGTGGATGTGATAAAGATCTGAACCAGTTGGGAGGAGACCTGCAGGAGGAACTGGGATGAAGGGAGGACGGCTAACATGTTTGACTTCATACAAAAAGGAACTTTTAAACCTTTTCCTTCATAATAAAAGTCCTGTAACAACTTWAATCTCAAGACATGAAAAGAAAATCTCTATTTGCAGAAGAAGCAGTTTATTTTTTCCTATAAGTGAATCAGAACTAAATAAAAACCTGTTTTTCCAGTTATTTATTAGTTTATGGAGAATTTATCCAAACTTGTTGTAAACATTAGTAATAGTGAACATTTTCTTACATCTAACCAACCAAACAAGAAGATTAAGAAGAAAAACAACAGATTTGAAGAGAATATTAGTTTGCATAAGCAGGTAGGAACAAATAAAGAAATACATCTCAGAAACACCACAGAGTCAGTTTCCTTGGTTACAGAAATGTGAAAAAACTCGACACAGCATAGAGGTAACACAATGACCCCCGCACCCACAAATACACCACAACACAAGTCTTTATTCCTAATAAATGTCATGCTACTACTGTAGGTGCATCCTAAAATTGTAGTGTTTGGGGTGGGGGTGGGGGGGGGTCATTGGTTGATCTGATGGACAGAGCTTCATCAGAGCTAAACAACAAAATAAATCTGAAGCTCCTGTGTTGAACAGTTTCTGAGTTATAAGCATTTTTACATGTCAGACACCCCCTGTTTGAAAGGAGCCCCCTCCTCAAATATGGGGTCCATCATAAAACCGTTAGCTGGTGCAGTGTAGGTCAGACTCATCTACA